AGTGAGGAATTTTCTAAGTTGAAAAGTGAGAGGATTTAACGGGGTTGCTCTGTGCCGTTGTCTGATTGCAGTATGCGAGGTAATCCAAAGTCGCAAAACACTTGTATGAGATTGCTAACGATTGTCTGTGATTGTTTATCTTGTATAGGACGCAATATGCAAAAGCGTGTACACAAGTCAACCATGACGAGCAGGTAATTGTTTCCTCTTGTGGATGTGGTAAGAGGTCCTGCTAAATCGATGGCCCAGTGATCACCAGGTATGTAGGAACGGATGGGTCTCAACGGATTATATCCATTTTGAGCTATGTTGTATTTCTGGCACTCCTTGCAGGACTTTACCAGTTCAACGGCTTGTTCCTTGATATTCGGCCAATGCAATCCATTATTGTGTATAGCCTTTACGATGGCATCCGCGCCAAAGTGGCCAAACAAGTGAGCGTTTTCAAGGATCTCTTTTTTCTCGCTTTCGGTTGGAGGTTCCATTGTGTCTTCAAGTTGCGCTGCCCGCATGGTCATTTCGGATGCGTTTTCATCCTGACTCTCAAGGCTTTTGGCATGGCGTATCTTATCCCCCTCCAGCGACTGTGTGGGTTTAGAGAACAGGCGCGATAGATGATCAGGCAGTATGTTACGGATACCAGGTAGATGGACAACATTAAAGGTATAATCCAAAAGAGTATCAAGCCATTTTATCATCATGGGGTTTGCATCTTTTTGCGTATGGAGATATACAAGTGCTTTGTGATCAGTGTAAAGAGTGAATGGTTGGCCCCAAAGGAATTTATGGAACTTTTTGAACGCAAAGACCACCGCGAGTAATTCACGCTTGGTGACTGAATAGTTCCTTTCCGATTTTGTCAGAGCACGTGCCATGAAACCAACAATGTTGTTACGTCCATTTTCTTTTTGATACAGGACGGCACCAATACCATCATTCGAGGCATCAGTGGCAAGGTGGAAGGGCAAGGCTAAGTTTACGTGCCTGAGCATTGGGGCGTGAGATATCACATACTTGAGCTTTTGAAAGTCTTCCTCGTGGTATTTTGTCCATAGCTTCTTCAAGTCACCAGCATTACGAAGCGCATCCATACGCGCCGTCAAGCGAGACACGTTGGGGATGTGATCACGAAAGTAATTCACAACACCTAGGAAGCGTTGAACATCATTGCCAGTGGCTGGTGAAGGCCATGTGAGGACATTGGTAACCTTACGAGAGTCGAGAGCTTTTCCATTAGCTGATACACGGAAGCCCAATAAATAGACAGCCTTTTGAGCGAAATGGCATTTGTCTGGATTAAGCAACAAGTTGGCTTTCGTTAACTTTTGCAGCACGATGCTAACATGAGCACAATGTTCTTCCATGTTCTTGGAATATACCACAATATCATCAACAAAGGTGGTGACAAAGGGTAATCCTTCAAATAAGATCTGCATGACCCGTTGAAACTTGGCTGAAATGGGCTTTAACCCAAATGGACATCCGACAAACATGTATTGATTGCCTGAGGCCGAAGTAAAAGTGGTCTTATGCTGATCCTTTTCATGGATCTTAAAACGATGAAATGCGCTCTTCAGGTCAAGTGTAGTAAATACAGCTGCTCCTGCAAGCTTGTCAAAGACGCTGCGTATTAAAGGTAATGGATGACGGTCATCAGGAAGGTATTTGTTAATATGCCTAGGATCCAGACATAAACGTACACCAACCTTGTTACCTTGTGCATCCTTTTTGGGTGCAAATGTTAAAGGGCTGTTCCACCCGTTGTCAATGTTGGCAGGGACTCTGGTAATAATACCATCCTTCAGCCATTGGGCAACGGTGCCTTCAACAAGTTGTTGACGTTTAATGGGAAACTCATATTGCCTTCGATAACATTTTGCGTCTTTAGGTGTATTGAGCTCGATAACGGATTCAGGGATTGTGCAAAAGCTGCCAGGAGGAATGTTGGCATTTTCTTTCAAGAAGGGTTGGATGCTTTCCATGAATGATTGCATTTCCTCAGGAGTGCCTGCAGGTGCATCATCAGGTTGAAAGGGCTCGTCGTTCACTTCTTCGTCTTTGGATGGCTTTGGTGTAGTCCAAGAAGTGGCGAGACCAACGTATCCTATACCCAATTGAGGCATCAAATCCCAACCGATACTCATAGGATGTTTTCGTGCCAAGTTCATGACTTCGAATCTGCATGTATGTGTTTTTCCATTATAGATGATTGTGAGTGGATCTGTTATCCCCAATCGAGGTACACGTACACCATTTGATCCCAAGCTAATATGTCCTTTAACCATGTTTATTTTAAATGATGACTTTTTTGCAAAATCTATATCAATCGACGAAAATGTAGCTCCTCCATCGACTAGTGCCATTATTTGGTGGCTTTCTATTGTGATGGGTGTGAGTACTTCATCTTCAAACTTCGATGATTTGCTTTGCTTAGAGGACTTACATGGTAATGTGTCCATGGGATCATCATTGTCAACACGGGCGGAACGGTTGAGCTTGACGAGTTTTGGATTGGGCAATCCATTCTTTTCATAATATTCATCACATTTATGGCCATGTTTCCATTTTCGACCACACCATTTGCAAGGTTTTTGCTTTTTGGGTGCTTGGTTGGCTGAATCTTGGTCGGCCTTTTGCTTCTTTGATTCAATGGAAGAGTCATTGTTGTTGGTACGCTTGTTGCCACAATCAGAGAGCTTCATGGCTTTGACAAGGTCACATACTGCTTCCAAATCCGTTGGCATTTCAGTGCCAAAGCGATTAACGATGGCAGTAATTGCCTTTTCGTTATGCTTATCAGAGAGGGAATAAAGAAAGATGATGACTAACAACAAACCAGCAGGAACCGTTTCTGTCATGCCAGCTTCGACACATCGTTGCTGGAATTCATTACAGTAAAGGTCCAGCGGTCTGTTTTGTTGTCGTAAGTTGAGTACAGAAAGCATAGCTTGGATACGTTGCGTTTGTGTGTCATACTTCTTAAGGATCAAATCCGAAATAGCAGACCACGTGGCAGGCACCTTTAGCTTAGCCTTCTGTTCTTTCAACCACAAGTTTTGTGTATACGACAAGCAGCGTGGAAGGAGACGTTCCCATTCTTCCTCAGCTTTCAACCCGTAGGTTTGCAACTCAACTTCAAATGCTCCAAGAAAAGCTGCTGCAGAGGTATGGGTGTCCCTTTGGTCATCCCATTTGGGCATGCCCGATAGCTGCAAAGCGGGGAGAGCCTTAGGCACAATAAGTGCTTTCTTGGACTTCTCCTTAAGCGCGGCATTATGCCTTTTCGCCTCCTCGATCTCATCTTTAGAATAAAACTCTAGGC